CGCTTTCACATCTCAAAAGCTCAACTACGTTCAGAAGCGCAAGAAAGAAAAAAAAAAAAACGTTCACAGTGGTTTCTCTCCCGGAGACGCTGCCTCAACCAAAGCCGCGCCCGCCCGCAAGAAGCTGGAACCGGGGAAGCAGCGCACCGCATCGCACCTACCGCATCGGGCCGACCCCACCAAGACGCAGGGGCAACCTGGACGGGACTCGTCGCAGACCGCTTCGCACCCACCTTGCTGCGCTGGGCCCCACTCACCTGCCCCCACTGAGCGCGCATCGGCTCCGCGCGCCTTCCATCCTCAGCCCCTCCTTTACTGTAGGATCTCGGCCGACGCACCCTGCCTCGGCCTCACCGCTACCCTCTGCGACGGAACTCGTAACTTCAGTCCTGCGCCATTGGCCGAAGGCACAGCACACTGCCCCACGACTGGCGGCTCCGCCCCCTCAGCTGGCAAGAACTCGAACCGCACATGCGCAGAAGAGGCAGCCAGGTCAGCGCCGAGCCCCGCCTCCCCCCCCCCCCCCCCCCCCCCCCCCCCAAGCCCGCCAGTTGTCCTGGTGGCGCAGGGCACTAAACTCTGGATCGCAGGTGTGTGGGTGGGAAGACCCGTTGCACTTACTGCCCTCCCCCCACCCTCTGCAAGGAAGATGAGTCCGAAAAAAAAAAAAAAAAAAGTGCCACTCACCCCCTGAAAACAAGGTGCACCCTACACGTTGCTACGACATAGAATTAGCATGCCCTAGCACGATGTATAGCTTAAGCTATTGCCCCTCTTTATCGTTGAAAAGAGCATTTTGTATTTAGGCAAGTCCTTGTGCATAAAATTACTGTTTGGCCAATCAAGAGGCACTCTGACTTCTAGAGTTCAAGGTGTGCCTTCACCAGTATGTCAGCAGTACTCAGCTTCCCTCTGTCTCTCAGGTACTTAAGGAGATGAGGCCGATGCCTCCAGGTGACCTTTATTCCATACTCACGCTCAGGAGTATCCATAACTAGTGTTTCTGCCAATTGCTCCCTCCCACAGTGGTTGACGCTGGACATCAACTCAGCATGACTACTGATTTGTGGCAGTGCACTGCTGTATGCGCAGTTCCTTAAAGAAGGCAACTGTGGCATCCCCATATCTAGTGGGCTGAAGACTTCTGGCCCTACAGGCTGAGAAATAGGTAATGATGGCGTTTCACTACAGTTCTCAGAACCATTCACCTGGATGTTAGCTTTGGATCCTATCCCTTTCTTGCACTGGATGTGAGAATGCTGTGTGTTCTTTCCTGCATGACTCAGCATATCTGTGGAGCGGACTGAACATACTTCTGAATTCTCAAAAATTAAGGGAGGAAATTTGCAGGCCACAGATCTTCGACAAGCTGTCTCTGCACAAAGCAAACCATAGCTGACATCCCGATTCTGAAGCTTGTGAGAACCACGTCGCTTCTTCTGACACGCTCTCAAAACCAATGACTTAGTTGTTTCAGATTGTGGGCACACCTAAAAACACAATAAGAAAAAAAACAATATTTTTTCCAGACAGAGGAACACCAACCTTATTCTTCTCTCCCACCCTTCCCATCTTTCTTCAGCATGGGAATTAAATGGGTAAAGCTAGCTTGCAGCAAAGCAAACTAGTTGTTAGCCAAGCTGGTAAGCAGGAAACACCTCTGAACCTCAAAGTTACATTCTATCCCTGAGAAGTGAGTGGGGTGCAAGTGAACTATCCCTGGGTAACTTAAACTTAAAAAGAAAAGCACACAAGACTTTAAATCAGAAGCCTAAGTTGTCCAACAGGCATTAATGCCTTCAACACCTGCTGACTTAAAACATTTCAGAGCTGGATCCTATTTCTCAGCATAGCAGAATAAATGAACTACACTGCAGCCCAAGTATTTCTGAGCAACTACAGCTACAATTGGGAGTAATATAATGTTAATCAGGCCTTCAAAATATCCCCCTGAAACATGTTTTCTTTAGAGACACTACAACACAAAGATTAACAGATGACCACAAAGTCAGTTCTACTAAAATCAGCTTTCTGTAGAAGACTATCAATGAAATACAGATTATTGAGCTTTGAAAGACTTTGTGCACTTACTCAAGATTCTTTAGGGAATCATGGCTCTAGTTTCTTAATAATTGTATCCTGGTACAAACTTAAAATAACGTAAGTGAACAATTGATTTGAACTTCCTTGCTTCAGAGAACACACCACATAGGCTTTACCAGGAGCCTAGCAGTCAAGAGGATCTGAAAGAGCAGAAATTCAGTTGCCAGCGAAACAAGCGATATCCATCCGTAGAGGACGGTTCAGGGAATTATAAAAAATACCAATATTTTCTAATATCTAATAGTTTCAGTGCTGTTAACTTCAAAGAAAACACTGGATATTTAGAACACAGAACAACATGGTTATTTTAAGCTCTTCCAAACAAAAAGCATACATCTTGACAGCAATTATTTCATGCAGTGTTTTAAAAGCCATAGTACTAACCTACCTATATAAACATTGCAGGGTAAAATAATAATTAAAAAAAAAAAAAAACACATAGAATCATTTGAGTCGGAAGGGATACTTAAAGGTCATCTAGTTTAGCATTAAACGTGAAGGTTGGTGGCATGTGGCAGGGGGGTTGGAGATTCATGATCCTTGAGATCCCTTCCAACCCTGGCCATTCTGTGATTCTGTGATAGTGCAATTCCCCTGCAGTGAACAAGAGCTACATCAGGTTGCTCAGAGGCCTAAACAGCCTGGCCTTTAATGTCTACAGGGACAAGTTGTTCACTACCTCCGCATAACTTGTTCCAGTGCTTCACTACCCTTATTCCTTATATACAGTTTAAATTTCCTTTTTTTTCATTTGAAGCCATTTACCCTCGTCCTATCATAAAAGGCGCTGCTAGAGAAGCTATCCCCTTTTATCTTAAAGGCTAAAGGAATGTTTCATATGGATTTGAAACCACACCTCAAGTCTACTTTATACCAACAGAAACACAAGGTCAATAAACAGAGCTCTAAGAGCTCTCCTAGATGATAATTACTGTTGTATAGAAATAGTCTGCCTTTGCAGCTCCCGTTTTCTTTATTAAAGAAAAATTTAAAAAAACACAAAACGAAACAAAATGCAAACATAAAACTTTGTAATACGGATATAAAATATGGACTCAGGACACTGCAACCAGTCCCTGGAATATTCTTCAGACTATAAAAGGAGCTCATGAGAGAGAAACTATTCTAAACACACAGAATTAAAAAGACAGCAATTTAAAATAAGTAGTTCTGAAGCAAAGGCCTCTGTTCCCTAAATTTAGTGGTGTCATATTTAAACAAAACATGTTTTTAAACAGGTAACTTTTAGATTTCAGCAATTTTGAGCAGCAAAAGATTTCCTTAAAAGAAAATTTATTATGTGCAGGATCTTCAATTGCCATAGAAAGCAAGCTACTCCTTCACCAGAATTAATTTTTCAGAAGACAAATAAAAACTGTGGTCTGTACACACTATAGTTTTATGCCTTCAAATACACAGGATTTTATTTTTTATATTTGAATGTGAAAAAACTCACATGCACTTATTTACGCATTAGACTCTATAACGAATTCAGGTCCATGCTGTTGACTTTCCTTATAAGGACACAAAACTCTCTGTTGCGATGTGGGAGAAAATTAAAAAACCTGTTTTTGCAAGACACAGAGAAATTGATAACATATACCAACCCAGGCAGCAGAGGTGTTCTGGTCTACAGGCTTTGTAGAAACACGTACTGGATTTTCAGCCACATACAGCGGAGTTTCACAACAATGGATGGGTCCCTCCCATGGCCTCTCAAGGAATACCAGCTCTGCCTTTCTAGTTTTGCGGGTACACTTCTTTTTTGGAGGCATCAGGCAGTATTACAAAATGAATTTGAAACCTCATGATGCTTGCTAGAACCAATTGGAGGAGAAGGAAAGCACTCTGAGAAGATGGTCAAGCACCCACAAATCTGTTGAAGATAAACAGAAATTGACTTCCACAATTATTTGGAAACCTCAAATAAAGTTTTTGAGCAAAACACAAATACAGTAACATTGCATACACATCTCCATATAGACTGTTACTTACCAGTAGTTTTTACATCTTTTAATCAAGTTTAGCACATACGTAGTAGAATGAGTACTTAAGTGCTCTAAAGCTTCAAGAAGACATAGCCAAATACATTGTGGTATACAACCATACAAACAAGGTAGAAGTGTCTAAGCAGCAAAAGGAGTCCTGAAGTAGCGTTTTGAATAAGGCATAACATTGCAGAAGATATTATTTCCTTATGAAAATGCATACTTTAAATACACAAGCCATAAAAAAACTCATAGGAATTTTTTTTCATAAAAACACTTTAGAAATAATTTGAAAGTCATCCATATTTAACAAGACCTGAGCAAAATACGAAAATATAGAACCAGCTATATTCAAAACTGAATTCAAAACTTCAGTTCGTTTTTTCCATTTAGAAGCAGATTGACACAGGTGAGCAATTTCAAAGAAAATACCTTGCAAGAAGTACATTTTCTCGGTAAAGATATAAAGCTACGTAACATCTTAACTGCTTACTACACATTATCAAAACAACTTAACAGCCCCTTTAGCAGATCCCATAAGGTTTTGAGATACAGCCTTAATGTTCACAAACCAGTGAAGTTCAGATGCTCTTTTCTGGAAATCTCTGAGACGGCCGCTGAAGCTTCTCTTTCCTTCCACGAACACAGCGAACACGAACGCACGCACTAAGAACCAAACTTGGCAGTAAAGCCAGAGTCTCAGAGGCTCTGGCCAGGTAATTTCTACTGAAACAGATGACCCACCATCAAACTTAATAACAACCTCCTCCACCAGACCACCCAAACCAGACTCTTCACCGGCGGCCAGGCAGATCCCTATGCTACTTAGCAACCACCCATTGGTCCACCTCTCTTCGCCCCGCCTACCGCTGCGTTTCACTGGTCCGGGCCCGCACGTGATACCAAGGAACCGCCAGGCGCCAAATTCAAACAGGGAAACGATCGGTACTGGGGGCGGATGGGGAGGACGGCGACCGCGACCGGAAGTCCTGAAGCTAACTTTTCCTTGTGCGTCTCCTGCTCTGCTGGGGAGGGGGTGAGTTGTGACCAGGGCTCGGCGTTCATTCCTTGCCGTGCTGTGATCTCCCGCTGCTTGGGCGTTCCCCGTGAGGAGCTGGGTTGCCTAGTGAGATCTCCTTTGAGAGTTCGGAGGCAAATGCCTAGATGGAGGGATCCTGGGAGAGCGGGCGGGATTCACTGGCGAGGTCGTCGGGGTTAGCAGCACCCGGCAATCCGGGAGGTCAGGGTTGAGGTTTGGAGTGGGTGACGTAGGCTTGAGGGGGTACTTGCTTAGCTCTTCAGTATCCTGGTTTTTGCTTCGTTCTCATAGCTCAATGGAGCTGTGTGCTTCTGGTGTTACTCTCTGCTGCTGAAAACAGCGTTTGGCCTGTTTAGGAAATTATTTGTTCCTCTAGGAAGTGCGGTTTCCTGGGGGCTGGCTGATAGTTACGCCTCCGTTGTTGTCTTAGGAGATCTTTCTGTAAGTGAGCAGAGAACCTTGCAAAAGGCTCTGCTTGTCCCTGAATGCTACAGCCTGCGTGTATGTTTCTGTTTCTGGCCTTCAGCTGCTGTGCAGCCTCTGAACCCACTCCTTCCTTCTCACAGAGCAGTTCATCTGATGGACGTTTTCCATTTTGTGTCTTTGCAGGTGATTCTTACTGTGAGCTTCTTTTTTTTTGTAAAGCCAGTCAAAACTACTAATGTAAAATGCCTTTTTCATTGTTCATTTTTGTTCTGCCCACCTTCCCCAATGATAACAATAAGTGCAACTTTTTTTTCTTTTCTCCAGTGGCTTGCTGCAAGAGGCAATGTCTCTACATCTAATTCTTAAATGGCATTATATTTATAAGTATTGTTCTCAGAAGATGTTCTCAGCTTTTTACCCTGAAAGCAGTACCTTCCACTGTATAATCTAAATTATCTGTCACCCAAAAATTTGAAATTTAAATTGTTTACTACTCTATCATGAATCTATCTAGTGCTACACAAATCTATAGAAGAAGTGACTAAAGCACTTACTTTGCCTTTATTTTGAAGTGCCTATCTTCTGCTTTAGAAATATGTATACTTCTAATGATCAGGGCAATTTCTGCTTCCCACATCTTTTACCAGCTCTTAAATCCATTTATTTTTTTTTAGGTTGTGATCTATTGCTTACAGCAGAGTGGTATTTCTGTGTTCTGGTTTCTCACCCCTCCAGCTTACTGGCTAGTGTGGTGAAGTCACTTCACAGCTAAGTATTAGCATCTATAAAGCAGATACCACAGAATTGTAGAGGCTGGAGGAAACATCTAGAGATCATCAAGTCCAACCTCCCTGCTAAAGTAGGTTCCCTACAGTGGCTCACGCAGGGAAGCATCCAGATGGGTTTTGAATATCTCCAGAGAAGGAGACTCCACAGCCTCTCTGTGCAGCCTGTTCCAATGTGCCATCATTCTTGCAGTAGAGAAATTCTTCCTTGTGTTAGCCTGGAACTTCCTATGTTCTGGTTTCTGCCTGTTGCCCCTTGTTCTATTGCTGATGAAAGTTTGTCCACACTGATTTGACTCCTATACTTCAGATATTTATAAACAGCCAACTAGAATGAGGAAACTGTATTTCTCTAGGTCTGAGAAATTAGAGGTGGTAGATAAATACAGAGCTAAGGAATAATTGTGAAGAAAAACAAAATGGTATCATAGATCCATGGAATTGTAGGGGTTAGAAGTGACCTCTGTAGATCAAGTCCAACCTCCCTGTTAAAGCAGGTTCCTCATACAGGTAGACATCCAGACAGGTCTTGAATATCTCCAGAGAAGGAGACTCCACAACAGCTCTGGGAAGCCTGTTCCACTGCTGCATCATTCTGACAGTAAACAAGTTCTTCTTTCTATTAGCATAGAACTTCCTGTTGTTCCAGTTTCTGCCCATTGACCCTTATTCTATTGTTGCTTGCCACCAAAGAGGCTACCCCCATCAACTTCACCCCTGCACTTTAGTTTATAAATATTATAGTTTTTATAACTATTTATAGTTATGAGATCCCCTCGCAGCCTTCTCTTCTCTAGACTGAAGAGTTCCAGATCTCTCCCAGTCTTTAGATATACAGATATACGTGCTTTCCTTGTTATTAGATACATCATGGATCTCAGCTTCTGATGCAAATATTTACTCTGCAAATATTTCTCATATCATGCTTCCACAAGCTGTTGATAAAAGAGGTAAAGTATATTTTCCTAGTCAATCTTGTTACAAACTTTCATTTTTGTTTTTCTTTCTGTTTTCTAGCAGCATGGAAATTGCTGAGAACATGTGTGCTGTGAAAGACCTGCAATGTATTTGCTGACCTCTTTTATCTATTCCTACTGTCTACTGTGCACTTATGTTGTGTCTTTTGTTTTGCAGGACTTGTTCCTCTCATTTTCAATGGAGAGTAACTGTTCAGATAAATAATGAGGACCAGCCCTCGCAGGCCCTTAATTCTCAAAAGAAGGAAACTGACCCTTCTACAGAAGGAGGTATCCAGTACTTCAGGTAGAGATGAGAACAGTGGTCATGATGAAAAGACACCTACGCAGGAGCACAGCCAGGAGGACCAAAAGGACAGCCAATGCAGAGACAAAATAGACTGTGGCCTGCAGAAATTTCCAGCGGGAATAAAGATAATGAACCATCCTACCATGCCCAACACGCAAGTGGTGGCCATCCCTACAAATGCAGATATCCAAAGCATCATAGAGGCCCTGACAGCAAAAGGAAAAGAGTGTGGCAACAATGGGCCCAATAAGTTCATTCTCATTAGCAGTGGGGGAACTTCTCGTTCAGCAGGTTTGATACTATCACAGCACCTTCCCTCAGTGGAGAAACCTGGCGCAGTGGCTAGGTCTTCGAATAGTCAAGTAAGAGAGAAGAATATTTCACAGACACCTGAAATTGCAGGTGGATCAATGGACTGGCATTCAGGAATTGATTCTTCATTTGCACAGAAAACGGAGAACAGTATGTAACCCTTACCCTCTTCTCCTTCTGAAAGATAAAGGGATGCAAACTGGGACAATGAGCATAGTACTTGAATCACAGTATGCAGCAGTGAAAGTTATTCAATTAACTACTAAATAGCTGTGCGTGTGTAATGGAATCTGAGGGATCTTGATGGATATACTTTGAAAGAAACAGTCCTGGCATTTGAAAAAAAAGCAAAATTTCTGTACTGGATAAAAATTCTAGTCTAGAAGAATAATACATGAGGCAAAGGACTCATGAATGGAGTGCCTTAGGCAGTGACAAAAGGGGGCCTAGACCTTTGAAAGAGAAATGATTCAGACCCTTTTATAATTAGGTAGCAAGTGCTTCTTTCTTGGCTGTCTCCTGAAGCTGGTGGGCAAACGTTAGAAATTGGATTGATTTTACTTTGACTTGCTTCTCAGATCATATTTGTATTTGGAATTTAAAACAGCTATATAGATTTGGGCTACAGCAAATCTTATCCTGCAGGCTACTGCTATCTGAGAGGAACCGATAGATAGCTCCAGTAACTGTATTACTGAAAACAACCCCACCATAAAAAAAAACATTAGTTTTCTACTGTTGATGTTCAAAACCATGGAGAATTTTTGATTGCTTCTTGGGTTATGTGCCAGGTTGGAGTTTATGCCACTTTCCTTGACTTTTGTTTACTTTATTAATCCTTTAGCTAAAAATGCTTGAATTCTCAAAGTGCTGGAGTCAACACTTTCCTGTTTTGGTTGAGAACAATCATTTGGTTTGAATGTTATGATTTGTTTTTGTTTTGTTTTTAATGGTACAGCTTTTTTCAGGAACTCAAGGTATATAAACTAGAAGCTTTAGCTTTGCAATACCATCTTGTTCCTATCCTGATTCAGGGATACCCTTTCAAAAAGTATCTGTTATTACTTTCCTTTTGGCACTTGAGATGAAGGAAGAGAAGAGACACTTGTAAATAAGCAGAGCTTTGGGCTTGTTTTCCCAACAGGCAGTGGTGAGACAATGAGCTCTGTGCTGGATAATAGTCTTACTAACATCCAGTGGCTGGGGAAGATGAGAACTGATGGACTAACTCCCTGTTCTGTGAAGCAAGGCACGGAGAAAGAGAACCAGATGCCTCTACGGGGAAGAATCAAGGTAAGTAGGAGAGGACAACAGTATACGCTAAAACTCTTGATGAGGATGCAATCCATCTGTATTAGAAGACTTGCAAGAACTAGACGTGACAATCTCTAAATAATCTGAGCGCTCCCTTTACCAATTTAAATAGCAGTACATGAAATATCCAGCCCTTGTCAACTATTCAAGCACTTATACATTGTTTCTTCTGTCTCTCAGACTGAGAATTCTGCAGCTGTTGCCATTCCCTCCTCCTCATGGCAGGATTCAGTATCAGAACGACCTCCGTACTCCTACATGGCCATGATCCAGTTTGCCATCAACAGCACTGAGAGGAAGCGTATGACTCTGAAAGACATCTATACCTGGATTGAGGATCATTTCCCATATTTTAAGCATGTGGCTAAGCCAGGTTGGAAGGTAACAAGCAGGTCCTCAATTTCCAGTTGGCCACCGGGTGAAACCTGTGAAAGCATTCCAGCTGAAAATGAAAAGTTGTTTCCCAGCCCGCAGAGCAAGATTGAAATTAATTTAAAACCCCACCCCAAATATCCTCTCCTTTCAAATGTTCCACATTTGAATTTTTTAATTCTTTTTCTCGTTCCATTTAGGCAAGGTGGTGGGATATTTGATCACTGAAGTAAGAAGGAGGATCTTGTGTATAAAGAGAATAAGAGACTTAATGGTAGAGTTGGCTGGGTTTGCAGTGAATAATAACGTCCACTTTTGAGCTTTAGAATGGAATCTTTCTGCTAGACAGTCACATTTGAGATAGACCTTTCTGTGCTGATAACAAAAATGCTGTTTTTCAACTTCTTCCTTGTTCCTTTCTCCACAGAATTCTATTCGGCATAACCTGTCCCTCCATGATATGTTTGTCCGTGAGACATCTGCTAATGGTAAAATCTCATTCTGGACTATTCACCCTGATGCCAACCGTTGCCTAACATTGGACCAAGTGTTTAAGGTGAATGCTTCATGCAAAGAAAATGGGACAGCTATCCAGTCCCTAATTGCCACACTAAACAGATGCACTTTAATTTGAAAGGAAAGTTAATATTCAGTGGCATCAGCCTCCATGTAGAAGCTAAATTCAGTTGCTTCTCCTGAAAAATAAATGATCTCTGTATTTGGAGGAAAAAAGAAAAGGGTGCTGTGGCTTTTGCTGCTGGAGCTTCTTTGGGATGCATTCATTCTTCAGGTATCACGCCAAATGTATTAGCTTGTTCAACCTGTTTCCATAGGGCTGCGGCAAAGTTCTAATGAGAAGCTTTCCACTGACTTAGACCAGCATTTCCTCTGTTGTTTGACTAGACACTCACAGGATAGAATTGTTCTGTCCCAGCTGGATTTCCCTATCTAGGAAATTTTTCAGATTTTTTTTAAGATGTTTTTAGTCTCTTCTATGTTTTGTGCAATGGGAGGGCAGATTCATTCTCTGGTTTGCTCAGATTATGCTAGATTAATTTGTCCCTTTTTATTGTTGGTAATTTCCTCTTATTTTTCTCCTTCTCACTGCCTTGCTGCCACTAGCCGCTGGACTTGGGGTCAACATCGTCTGAGCACTCTGAATCAGTAAGACTCTGGCCTCGGCCTTGGACTTCTAATCTCCTCTTGCTAGAAAAAGATAAGAGATTTGGGGAGGGGGACAGAATCACTGCTGCACATGATTGTAGAGCTCTGTGTACACCCATTTTTGGGGAATGGAGTCAAGCTAATTACCTTCAAGTTATATGTCCTGTCTACAGCTGGCAAGAGCTGTAAAGTTTTGAGCAACTAGAAGTCTACTGCTAAAATAGGCTGCATGGGCAGCTTTCTGAGACTTCAGAGAGAGCTGAGACAGTGGGTTTCAGGTACAACCTCCACCTCTGAGGAAGCAGTCCCAGCCTGTTCTGAGTCTCAGAATCAAGAAGAATAGGATCTCTCTGTACTCTTTTTTAACTTCTGGAAACCAGCTGTACTGTGAAGGATAAACCTGTTTGCTGTCTCTTGAACTCAGCAGTTTTAACAGTGATGGATTTTCAATGAATTAATCAGACTATCTGTCACCACTACAGCCCTGGGCTTCATTCCTTCTGCTTAGACCATTGGCTCCTCCTGTGCCTTTGCTTGATTTTCAGGTCTATGGTTTGTATAGAGATAAAATACGCAAATAAATGTATGCTAATCACATTTCTGCATTGAGGACACCCAAACAAGGTCAGCTCTACTGCAGACTGTTGTTGGAGCAGCTCTGTTGTACCATTTCTGTTTCTGTGTGAATTTTTAGTAGCTAGCCGTGAGATGGCATGGCTGTAAAACAGCAAGTATCACGGAGATAACACCCAGTACTCATGCTGGCTCTATGACTGCTGTTTCTATTAGCTCAGTACAGGCTTCTGATTTGCAGTTCTGAACAAGGCAGCAGAACAAAGATGAATTCTTTTATTCTTCTCTCTTCTCTTTCTTATTTCACAATGTTTACAGCAGCAAAAGCAACATGTTTCAGATCCCCAGAAGAACATGGGAAGCAACAATAGCAGCAAAACTGAATCCCAAAACGCACGTGAGTGTTTACTTCAGGCTAGACTAAAAAGAATAATTCCCATAAATTTCAGGTGCTTTCACAGATTTCCATAGGAATAAAAATGTTAATTGTTATCCAGATTTGCCTGCTTAAAGGCTTCCTACAGCTGTTCCCATCCCTCAGCACTGGGGCTAAAAGTAGTGCTGTCCTCTCTGAGAGAGGATGTGATAGAAAGATGGAAGGAACTAGCTGTTCAAACCAAGTGACAACAGAGCTTGCCCCAGTTTGAGGTCTAGGACCTTAAGGAAGGTTATATTTTGCTCTTCATCAAAGCTTCTGGCTTGGGATTTGTATCCTCAAAACTAGCAAAGAAGGCAAATGAATGTAATTGACCAAATGGTTATCTGGAAGTATTTAGAAGCACTTACGGTTAGGTGTCTGGTTCTCCATATGCAGTGAAAGAAGGGTAGGAGGCTAGCAAATCTATTCTTTTCTCTTCCAGGACGAAAGATGAAGCCTTTGCTTCCTCGCATCAACTCCTACCTTGTTCCGATCCAGTTTCCAATGAGTCAGCCTCTCGTCTTGCAGCCTTCTTTGAAGGTTCCTCTATCTACGGTACAGGGAGCATCCCACAACAGCTCAGACACCTTCCGGAGCAATAAACGTGTGCGCATTGCTCCAAAGGTTGTTTTCTTTGTTTCTGTCTTTTTTCCTTCTTTGTAGGGGACTGGTGGAATGAGTGTTTGTGTTTTGTATGGTTTGTTTTCTCCATAGCTATTTTCTTCCATGGATTGTGTTTTTCATGTGGTTCTTTTATGCATCTTCACTGGGTCCTCCAAGCATGTGAGCTTCTGGCTAGGTGACAATTCTTGCTTTTCCTTTTCTGTCTGTATTGTGACTATACCTGCTGGTTGAATTGCTGTATGTATGTTAATTTAATTCACTAGAGGAGTGGGTGCTCTGGATTGAAAAGTCAAGACCATGTTTCTTCCCCGCTCAGATGAAAACAAATAGGACTAGAGGAAATGGCTTTCTTCTGCCCCTGAAACACTCAGATACTTTTTTTATAGCTCTAAAGAGGAAGCTGTGTTATAAGGCATTGCTTCTGAAAGAGCATCTATTTACAAGTTGAACATCTTAGAGGCTTCTAATAAATGCTTTTTGCTAATTTTGTAGAGTTCCTTGGTGTTCTGAGCTGAAGAAAAAATGTAATCGAACAGATCTTTCTCTTTGTGTCTCAATGACTGTCTCAGGCACTGTTAGGCTTTTTCAAGCATTGTTAGGCTTCTTCTCGTTCCATTCTTTCTAATACTGATCCTGTTTTCCTTTATGCATCTGCTCATTTACATTCTCTCCTCCTATGATTTCTTTTCCCCTGTGCGTTTTTCTTTTGATAATTTTAATATTCTTATTTGATTTTTTCTTCATTTCTATGAAGTATGCCATCACAGTTTTTGTTATTGCATACATAAATAGTGTAAGGAGGATCAAACACAGAAATGTTCATCTGCCTGTCCTCGAAGCTGCTCATAGCAGATACACTCCAAAGGGTGTAACTTCAAGACAAGTAGCTAAAATCCTTCCCATTATGATATCTCTCTGTCAATTTCAAAGGCAGATCAATGTCTAGCTGTTGTTATTGCTGCCTCACTATGAAGATCCTCCTTTTACTTGTCCTGCTGTCCATATCTGCTGGTCTTTCTTTTTATCTTCCACTGTCATTTGCATTATGAGTGGTTAAGATTCTTGTTTACTGACTGCATGTTGCTTGTTTTTGTTGTTTGTTTTTTTTTTGTAGATGTCGCTCTCTGTTGAAGAGTCATCCTCTTTACCCATAGCTGCGGCAAAGGAGGAGAGCCAATTTGATGAAGGATTTTTTTCCCCAACACATTGTCTGAAGGAGAACAACTGTCAGCTTGGTGAGGAATCATCTTCTTTCCCTGAGGCACTCTGCATTAAGGAAGAGGAAAGCTCACAGCTGGGGGACTGGCTGTCCCCTTTTGCTTCAACCATAACTGTAAAGGAAGAGCCAGAATTGTTTGTCCCAGCCTCAGCCATGACAGAGAAGAAATGTTTCACTATACTGAAGTCACCATCTAAGGGTGTTTCTGACACATTAGTTATAAAGAGATGTGAGAGGCGGGAAATGAGCAGATCCAGAAGGAAACAACACCTAGCACTGCCTTGCTCGGAAGAGCCTGTCGTCATCTTTCCAGAGAGCAATGAATTTGATCCTTTCCAGTTAGGGGCAGACCTCCCCTTACTGCAGGAAAACCAGCCTCTAGAGAATGTATCACAGCTGAGATGCCTGCAGGAGGAAGAGGGGCCTTTTAAAACACCAGTCAAAGAGATGTTCAACAAGTTGCCAGTTTCTTCCACTCCCTGCAAAGCAGCGACTACTACCCCCCCACTAGGGGGCCTTGATCCCTGGAAGTCTGCATCCTCAGCCAAGAGAGGTAATGAGCTGGATTTCAGTCCAGTGAGAACCATTCAGCTGCCGATCACAGCCTTCCAGGAGAACCAAGACTTGCTGGCTTTTAACAGCACGCCCCTTAAAAATCCTCTCCCCGAATCCTCTTGGGAACTGCTCAATACAGTATCCAACGACACAGCGCACGGCCCCCTCACGAGCTCTCCATCTGTTATTCACAAATCTAGTAAGCAGTTGCCCCTTGAACTACCAGCCTCTAGTTTTACTGAAAACCGATCGCTCATGGAGGGCCTGATTTTGGACACCATGAATGACAGTTTGAGCAAAATCCTTTTAGATATCAGCTTTCCCGGTCTTGAGGATGAAAACTTAGGAACAGACATTAGTTGGTCTCAGCTTATACCTGAACTGAAGTAAACTGTCCGGAAGACTGAATTTGGCTTATTTGGATTTTACAGAAAGCACTCCTGAGATCTATTAACGTAATGAAAAGCAGACAGTCTTTTTAGACAATTCCTTCATTTGTGGGAGTACTGACTCCTGCTAAGCTGGGAAATGGGCCGGTTGGCTGCTATGAGCTGCCTGTTTGAGCTGCAATGGACTATTTATGTGCGTCAAGATAGAACCTCTCTAATCTGGTGCTAGAGTGGAGTCCCTGGAGAGGGGTTAGCATCTAGATAGGCCCTGGACAGCCCTGGCTAATCGAGGTATGAGAGGAAACGGGTACACTCCTCAATTATGTCCAGTAGGAAAGGCTCTGAGCACTTCCTCCTTCTCTGTCCTTACTTAATTTTACTTTGTTCCCATCTTATTAGCATCTTCTGTGTAGGTTTAATGGCTTTAAGCCCTGTACATGCCTTAAATTACTAGCTCTTTATTACAATGGTAACTTTATTCTTGTAGCATTGTTAGGGGAATATTTGAGTTGGCAAATGATTTAGCTTAGCTTTGTCCATATGTTCCACCTGCCCTGTATTCCTCTAGATGAGAGCCCAAACTACCATTTTCTTTTAATCCAAAAACACATTGGCCTTGAAAGTAGCCAAGGCAGAAATCTGAAGAATCATCTATATGTGACTGAGTGCCTACCCAAGCTAAACAGAAAAAAAATGGTTAACTGAATTGCAGCATGAAATCTTAGTTCATTTTTCCTTCTCAGCTCTCCTTCCCTTCCCAGGCTGGAATGGAGAAGAGCTGTAACTCTTTGGGTTCCATAGTCCTATTAATCACAGAATCACAGAATTGTAGGGGTTGGAAGGGACCTCCAGAGATCATCGAGTCCAACCCCCCTGCCAAAGCAGGTTCCCTACACCAGGTCGCACAGGTGGGCATCCAGGCAGGTCTTGAACATCTCCAGAGAAGGAGACTCCACCACCTCCCTGGGCAGCCTGTTCCAGTGCTCCATCACCTCACTGTAAAGAAGTTCTTGTGCACATTTGTGCAGAACTTCCTGTGCTGCAGTTTCTGTCCGTTTCCCCTTGTCCTGCCTCCACTCACCACTGAAAAGAGTCCGGCCTCACCATTCTGCCCCCCACACCTTAGATATTTATAGACCTGGATCAGGTCCCCTCTCAGTCTTCTTTTGTCGAGGCTGAACAGACCCAGTTCACTCAGCCTTTCTTCATAGGGGAGATGCTCCAGGCCCTTCACCATCTTTATGGCCCTCCGCTGGACTCTTTCCAAGAGATCCCTGTCTTTTTTGTACTGAGGAGCCCAGAACTGGACGCAGTACTCCAGATGAGGCCTCACCAGGGCAGACTAGAGGGGGAGGATCACCTCCCTCGACCTGCTGGCCACGCTCTTTTTAATGCATCCCAGGATGCCATTGGCCCTCTTGGCCACAAGGGCACACTGCTGGCTCATCGCCAACCTGTCATCCACCAGGACACCCAGGTCCCTCTCCGCAGAGCTCCTCTCCAGCAGGTCATCCCCCAACCTGTACTGGTGCATGCAATTATTCCTCCCCAGATGCAAGACTCTACACTTGCTTTTGTTAAACCTCATCCGGTTTTTTTTTGCCCAGCTCATAATATGTACGTAGACGGCTTAGTGGACTCACAGTTGCAATAAGATGGATTTCTACGGAGTGGTTAAAGCAGCTTTCATTTCAGACATCAGCTGAAAACGTGAAACAGAACTTGTAAAGTGAATACTGGTATTTTCACTGGCAATTGACCTCTGGGAATGAAAGGTATGTTTCTCCCATTGCAATAGAGCTACTTTTCCCACTTCTTTAGACCTCATGTCAAGAGAGGAAATGGCCATGGAAAGAGCTAATCCTTCTGCTTCCAGACAAATGATGAGTCATGCATCTACATACTCAATAAAGTTTTTGCAGGGGTGCAGCTGAGCATCATCTTTACTGCAGCCACTTCTAGCAAGGTGCTTTGGCTGGACCAGAGTATGAACAAATGCTTTTGCTTGCCTTGCCATGGGCTTTAGCCTTGGATCTTAATTCTGGGGAAAGAGACAGGTTGCTGTGGGAGGGGAGAGTATCAATGTGTTGATACTCCCTTGATGATGTGTTTAGTACAAGTCTGCATTTCTAAGAACCACTGCATACAGGGGTGCTGCTTTGTGCGAAAGGGCTGTTGATAAACTAGTTTCAGTAGCAGGCCAAGCAACCACAGCCACGATCTAGGCAAACTTCAACTTGTGTGTCACTACTTACAAGACATCAGCAGACACACCTTGCCTCAGAATTTTCTCCAAATCTTAGCGATCTTTCTTGGTATGGTGCCAATGACAGTCCCTGAAAGTCTCTTACTGCCTGATGGGGGTAAGTTATGCTGAAATTTTCTGTTACCTCAGGCAACAGAATCTCTTGGAATCTCGTTATCCTACCTGAAGCACTGAGGATAGGAATGAAATTCCTTTAAGCAGTCATAGAGCTTGAAAAGCTATAAGAAATTAAAAAGGAATAGAGAGGCCAAGCATTTACTTTAGGCTTTTCACCCACAGCTGTATCACAAGAAGCTCCGCTAGAGATGCAGAGGGAAAGTGCGTGAAGTTGAATCCTCTGTTTTGGAATTCAGGATTTGTCTACTGCATGTGTGATCTCTGGTCTGTCTTACGCAATGATCTGATACAAAACACAGAGCAAATCCACTTCTGGTGGACTGGAGAACTACAGACTCAGATGCTGTGGGCCAATGTAATAAGATAGGAGGCATTACTTTTGGAGCAGCCTGTGTGTGTGTGTCTAGGAAATGATGCGCAGTGCAGTTGCTCACCACCTGCTGACTGATGCCCAGCCAGTCACCTGAGTAATGGCAGGTGACGATCACAGCCGAAACCAGGACAATATCCACTCTTATTCCACACCGTTTACATCATGCTTTCGGGTCCCGCACTTGCCAAAGTACCCTGGTTAATCACCACCACCCTTGCTCGGTTCCACCAAGGTTCATCCTTTGTTAATCTGTGTAACTTACAGGAGTAATATTGATACAGCAACCACACTGGTGATGACATACGGTATTATATAGCAATTAACACATGAAGGCCTCTTCAAAAGTAACGCCCCCTACTTTATTACGTTGGCCCATAATGTCTAAGGCAGATGTTGGTGGCATGGCAGTGGAGGCTGAACCTTCCCGCTAATATTCCGTTTCATTTTGTTGCTGTGTGACAGATGACAGCTTAGGGGCAGTCTGGCAAAATGGCATCAGATATGCAAGCGCGTATGAAGCAAAGACGTGGAATTGAATTTCTCCATGCAGAAGAAATTGCATCTGATGACATTCATCGACGCTTCCTGAGCATTTATAAATAACAGATAGTGGATGTTAGTGCAGTGAAGAGGGGGGGGGGCGGTGCATTTCAGCGGCGATGGCAACAGTGGATCACCTCTGCTGGTGCAGATTTTTACAAGTGCAGCACTCTCGTTCGTGGCTGGCAAAGATGCATGGCTAATGGTGGTGACTATGTTGAAAAATACTGTTCTGTAGCTCTGTCACACGTTGGGCTCTCCGTGTCTGTTGTAGTTTCCATGGAAATAAATAGGAGGCACTACCACTGTGTGTTCTCCCCCCAGAATCAACCCCCCCGAGGCGCACATCAGAATTCCCCATCCTACCATGTTACCCACAACATCCACCCCAGTCCTTGAGCAAAGTAGTCCCATGGATAGGCTTGCCCAAAACAGGAATAACTCGGATTATTTTCCCCAGCATGCTCTTTATCATGTGCACTGGGGGAACTTGATCTGTTTCTACAGCACATAGGGGTTCTGATTAGGCAGTGCCAGCTCAATTGGCAGATCCTCTAGTGTTAACTAACAAAGTGGCCTTTGCTAAATGTGTACCTTAACACTCCCAAAGTGTCCCAGTACCCATTGCTCCCAGAGTAGTCTTTCACAGTCCGTTGTATCATTCAGTTTTTTCCATGGGCTGGTGTGATAGGATGTCAACGGTTTACAGGCTGGTTTGGCCCGGTTCCATGAGTAGTGAGGCAGGGGGACCTATGCCGCAGGGAAGGGAAAAGGGAAAAGGGTAGAGAGATGGGCCTAAAAAAAAAGCAGCGGCAACAACCTGAGGAGAAAGACGCTCATTTACTAAAGAAGATATCAGAATGCAAGATAGCACACATTACTCAGGTGACAATACAATATAATACAATTGAAGTTAATAAACCAAATAAATTGAGAGAGAGTCCGAAAAGCCAAAGGTCTTACTCTAAGCAAGATGATACAATACGGCTGGGAGCAGAAATGAGCCAGAAGATCAAAAGGGGAGGTCAAGTGACTTACAGACAGCTTTTGTCTTTCCCTCTGAGCAGAAACGGTATCAGGGCAGCAATAGCCCTCGGTGTAAAGAGAAGTTGTTCTCTTCTGGGAGAGAAGTTCTCTTTACACTGCCTCAGCGTAAAGAGAAGTTCTCCTTCTCTTCTGGGACAGGTACCTGGAACTGGAGCATTAACTCTTAAATCCTAATGCACTACATGATGTTATACTGCAGAATACTGATAACAAAAAATCATAAAGCCATGACACGGGAGATGTGATTTACCCGCTCAGTGCCGTGCTCTTTGGCCCAGGTATCATGAATCTTTTTTCATAAATGAGTCCAGTTGTCTAAGCCAGTTCTTTCTTGGGTGCCTTTAGCTGTAAGTCTTGCTTCTCAAGGCCCAGGATAGTGTTTTGGATAGTGGCACGGGGTGTAGGATTTGCTTCTAGCCACCTGGTGGTTACCTCCACCACTGTAAGCATGTGGTGCTTACTGTATCAGATTTGTTGGAAGTGTGATATCCATCAGCTCACCCCGTATTTATATTTCAGCCATTGTTCTACATACCAGAGAGGCTTTATCCACTTGGCTTCCTTGATTGAAGCACATTGTGCATTTGTGGATAACCTGTGCAGTAGTGTCCGTGGTCAAGTCTTCCACTCGAACGTTTGCATGTTTGAGCGAGCCCATTGTATGTTGCATCTTTTGCTAGGTGGCCTGACGTATGGTGGACCTATCAAGCTATAAAAAAATTCACCCTTATGTTGCCAGTGGAGATCTTCCTGAACCACTTCAATTTTAATAGCCCAATCCACCTGCTTTATATTTTGATGTTCTTCAGCGGCCCAACTCAGATATAGGAGCAGCTACATGACATGCCAGGCAGCAACATTGGAAGGCCATTTAAATGGCCTTCGCCTCTGCACATTGTCTTGATTCACTAAATTCACTTGATTCAATTGATTTACTAAATGTATATCTCAGTGCTCTTAAAGCATCATTCAGTTTTTTCCTTGGGCTGGAGAGCAGCCCCACTGAATAAGATGTGGGGCTCATCTGGCACACAATGATGAATTCTTCCTTAAAATGTTCTAAATAAAACTTAGGACACAAGAAACAACAGAGGCAGACAAGTAGGAGCACATTAGGAAGGAGCTGGGCAAACCAATTAGTATGATAGCGCTTTATCGCAATTGTCCAAAGAAAATTTTCCTTAGGTCTCATGAGATGCAGAATGGAGTTTGAAGTTGGGAGGGATATTTCTGCGCGAATAAATGAAGTAAATTGTTTTGTTTTGTTTTGTTTTGTTTTAAGTTAATTCAAATAATTAAAAATGAATAAAAACAACCAGGTAGAGAAAAAGTGCTGCCACTGTAATACTGCTTGAAGGAGAATTAGGTAAATTCCCTTGGCTTGTTTTTGACTATGATCCTGCTTTCTCAGGTGTTAACTATGATCCGTGTCCAAATGTAAAATCAGGAGAAAGAAGATCAGCATGGTGGAAGACTGATCCAGACTGATTAGAAATGACCATTGAGAAAGGAACGTTTGTAAAAGACCAAGAAGAACCTTTGGGACTTAATGGTGACGATGTGCTGTGTATCTGCTGCTGCGAAGAAGAGATGAGCAGTGTTGGCAAAGAATGGAGAGATGATAAAATAGGTATTCAGGCAAACAACTCAGTGGCTCTCCTCTGGATCGCTGTGAGCATGGTGGGCTAGTAAGGAGGGTTGAAGATTCAGAAATAGATGTGTTAGGAGGCTAGCTTAAGAGATGAAGTTGATTGATGAGATAGGAAAAGAGAAACTGTGTAGTGAACTAGACCAGCTGTCAGATCTAATTCAAACCTGCCCCAGGGCAAGTCTGGCAGGCATGACAGGACAAATGACTGCTACGGAGCTGGGACTGCCTACTTTGCCTGCCGTGCCAGTTAGGTGTGAATGTATATTTTCAGTGCAGCGATGGGTTGGTCATGGAAAGTGCTCTGCAGATGAGGGAAGACTGGGAAGAGAAGGCAGAAAGGGAGAAGGGATGCACAGAGCCCCCACAGAACAGTGGGAGTCATTTTAAAGTCAACTTCCTAGAAGAGTGGTTTGAGAAAAGCCAGACAGGACATCCCATTGGTGTTACGCGAATAGTTTCCTATCTCGGATGCTCTCGAAACAGTTGAACTGTCTCTAAACACGCAATTCAGTGGTGCTGGGGCTGGCTTGTGTTGCAGCCGTTTAGCTACGCGGGGTGAAAGCCGCATTCCTGAAGTAGCTCCGAAGAAGCCTGTGAGTCAGGCCTGGCTGCAAGGGGCTAGACGTGGGGCTGTGCTGGCCTGCGATCGCCGCGCTGAAGGGCCGAAGCGTGGCTCTCAAGAGCGCTTGACTCGGCAGCCGAAGGGGACTGCACGGAGGCTGGCAGCTGCTAGATGACCGCCCGGGCTGCGACTGAACGCTCTGTAGCCCCGGGGCTTCCGGCGCGGGAGCTGGTTTCTCGTCCGCGTACCCCCACGCCCGGGAAAACAACAGGCAAGCGGCGGCGTTTCCGCGGCTTGTCCGCCGTTTGGAGCCGAGCCGTCCTGAACAGCGATCGCAACTTCTTTTGCCGACCCTCACCGCCG